CCCTGCCCCGAGGGAAGCGGGCAGCGGGGCCGGCGTGCCAGACAGCCCCCCGCCCAGGGCACCGGGTAGCAGCTCGGACCGAGCGTCCAGCTCCACCGAAAGCCCTCGGGCAGAAGAACCGGGTACCCCCGGGGCTGCAGCGCATCCCGGTACCGCCTCCTCTGCAGCCGGGGCGCTTGCGGGTTAGCTGCGGGGACACTGGGGCCATGAACTCCGGCTGACTCTGGCAGAGTCAGTGGAAAAAAAGAGAGGAAAAAAAAAAAAAAAGACTGTTTGGGGGTTTGGCGGAGAAGCAAATACGACAACCGCGTTCCTCTGCATGGTTGGGGTGCTGGGGAGAGGGTGCCACCGCCAAGAGTACAATTAAAAGAGTCAAGAAAAAAGGGATAAGTGCTGTTTCACTAATAAAAATACCTCAATAATCAGTTTTAAAATGCTGCAATAAAACATGTAGTCTATTTTCTGGAGGAAAAAGCTTGTATGCATTTCTTGAATATATGTTTTGTTATAATGTGGGTAGCTTTTGCCATTTCACTTTTTCTTCCAAAAGTCATTTCATGATCTGAGAATATCTTTGTTCAAAGTAAATGGACTGTCTCTAGGAATTAGCCAGCTGTGGACTGCAGTTCAGCTCTGCTAATAGTGATCTACATGGAAAGAGTTTCCCACTGGAGAAGCTGCCGTGCTCAGTCCATCTGCTTTACCATGGCTGAACTGATCCCTGAGCTCTCAGAGAAGGTGAGACCTGTATTACCAGTAAACCAACCAGCCATTCAAAGGTGATTTAAAGGTATGACTCCTGGTCAGGCCTTGCTGTGTGAAGATAATCAGCTTCCATTTTATGGCATGCAGTCGTGATTTGAAAACATTAGGAGATGACAACACGCTACTTCTTTGGGTATATTTTTTTTGCCAAGTTCACTACTTTGTCTGCTAAAACTTGGGGTTTATTTCTAATACACCTTCGGCTTCCAAGCAGGGGATCTAGCTACGTGTCCGCTGACCTTTTCTCTCTTTTAATTTTACCACACTGTAAACTGATATGCATTGTGATCTGTCTTCTTCCTGATAAACGAAATGGTCTGCATCCTTTATTCCTCCCACATTCTTTAAGGCTCAAACTTCTCAAATCTTTTCCAGAGCTGGAACCTCTCTCTCCTGTTTCTGAAGATGCCTTGCAAAAGGGATACCAGGGCAGTACCAAACACTATGGTGTCTCACAAATGGGTCATACAGAGCTGAGATCACCTCTCTATTTCTGATCACAGTTTTCCACTTAGGTATCTAAGCATCTCACTAGTGCTTTTTGGAAACTTCTGTTCCATCACTTATTCCCTCTGACCCATAAATCCTTTCCCAAGCCACTGCTTTCCATGTTCTGGTCACTTCCACAGCACAGAGAACCGTAGGAGGCCTGATGCATATGGCACCCATGGCTTGTAAGGACCAGCATGCCTGTGGCAGACCAGTTGGAACAGTTAATTCATCAACCTTCATGATTGCTCAGTCAGGTAGAAATGGATGGTTTGAAAATACATTAAGTTTATTTCTCCTGCCTCTCTGTGAAGGCAGGAGTTTGAAAATGAGTATTAATTAAATAAGTTATCTACAGGATTGCTGCTGGCCTTTACAAGCACAGAAGCTGGAGGAGTGTCACAGGGTACCCAGCGGGAGCCCAGGCAGGAGGAGGATGCCAAAAGGCTGCTTACCAGTGGTACCAGTGAAAGCCGAACGGGAAAGCTGATCTGTAACACCAAGAGGTGCTCTGGGGTTCACAAGGCAAGGAGATCTGGGCAGAAGGACCTAACAAGTCAAAAGATGCTCCAGTAAAGAAATGAGGGTAAGGTTCATTATTTTTATTGGTTTTACCCCCACATGTTGAAATAAAGAATGATTTGTTTTATTATCCAACTCAAATTCAGTATGAACACATGTTGTATCTTGAAGAGTTGAGAGGTAAATTCACATTGTGTGTTTGAAGCAACTCGAGTGTTTCATTGTCTGCTCTTCTAAATACCAAGACTTGGAATTTGGGTCTAATCTATAATTTGGGTCTGGGGTAGCTCTTGCAGACATTCTCACTTTCTTCTTTCCAATACATGAACAGAAAAAACACTTCCTGATTGCAGTACCAATCTCTCAGATGGATGGATGCATGACAATGCAAACAATTTTGCTACTAAAGAATACATAGGCAGCATACAGGAAAACTACAATTAATGAAAATAATCCCTTTCACTGAGAAGCAAGTGTGTCTAAATAGTTTAATCTTTACATAGCTGCACTTACTTAATGAAGTTATCAAAATATTACCAACCAGTGAGAAAAGGAGGTGTCATGAAAAGTGCCTGTGGTCCATTAGAATATTTTTTTGAATCCTCTTTTCCTCCCCCCTTTTTTTTTGACACTGTTGAAAGTACTAATAGATGTACCCTTAAGCAGTCCGCCTGCAGTTGGGGCCAGCAGCATACTGCTGTAGTCTGAAGTGTGAGCTCTTTCTAAAGGCAAAATCTGGTGTCTCTTCACATGGGAAGGATCCCCACTGTACAAGGGAGGAATGGGACATGAAACTCCCCAGTAGTTCTTAGACAGCAACTGAACTAGTCCCTGTCTATAATTCTTGCTGCACATTTAGTGTGAATCATTAAGAGTCAGACATTAATCTGTAGACAACCCTCATCATCCATAAAGCAGAGCAACGCTATGAAGGCCATGTTACGGTGGCAGATGAAGCCTTCTGCTTCTGTCACCAGTTTCATTTTGTTCTTTACCAGCTGTCACCTGACGACTGTTATGAAATAAACTGGTGGCTTTATCTAGGCTGCTGCTAAAATATGACTTCACCTTCGAAAAACAATTTTGCAGCTTGTACTTCACGCAAGAGGTCATCAAGCAGGCCAAGGAACGATTTGAGAAGAAACCTGTCTTCTCAATTTGTGGGGAATTCACCCAGAAACATGAAAATGAAACTCATGCTGCCATATATTCTAGGTTGGAAATTGCCTTTGGAGAGAGGAAATCACCCTTTGGGCTGATCCTTGTCATGAGTATCGCATCAACAGGAAATTAAAATATTTGCACTTGAACAGGAGTATTATATCTTACTGTTATTGCAGGCTGAGGCCATACTTCTACCCATTCCTTTCTGAAACACATGTAGTAAGGGGATGCCGATAACATCTGTTGCTGCTTCAAAGAGCATTCAAATAAGGTATAAAGCCTATCAACAGTATTAGATAAAAGTTCAACGCAGTCTTGGGAAGTGTAAGTGAGAGAAACTGTGCCTTTCCAGCAGTCTGAAATCTCATGTCAGCATTAAGGCCTCTATCAACAGGCTTAAAGTATGGATGGGGTCTCCAGGAGGATTAACTTCAGTGTCGTTTCACAGAAATATGTTTATAGAAAAAGAATCAATATATTAATTTCCCCTAAAGAGAAAATCTATCCAGGGAACAAAGCACAACTTTTATGAGCTGCTGTGGCTATTTGGTTAAGGAAAAGAAGTGACCAGAGATTGTGAAACCAGCAGCTAAGAGAATTAGTTATCTGGCATGGACACAGTATTTGGGAAAGCCTGGGTTGCTGATTTCAGAGGCATGGGTCACCCAGAGCTCCGAGCTGGAGCTGTGGATACTCTTTGCCTTGAAAAGTCAATCCACTTCTTGAAACCTTCTCCTAAGAGAGTGTCTGCAGCAGTCCCTGCCCCAAGATACAGCCACAAACCTTCAGGGCTGTTAAAAACCCACCTATGTTTTGAAGAGCAAAGGGAGGTGGCTCACCCATCTCAAGCCATGCCAGCAACCGGGGGGTCCATGCAGCTGCAGCAGCTGCCAGCGCTTTCCCAGCCCGCTCCCTTCCCAACGGCGAGGGAGATGAGCCTCAGAGAGCCAGCGGCAGCACCCGGCAGTTACCTTCTGGTGCTCATTTCCAAGCAGAGCCAGGAATAACCTCTCCCTGCCTCTTTGTGGGTAACCATGAACCTGCTGGACTGGGCTCAGCATTGTCTTGCATTCCTTCTGTGGGGCTCTGTGCAGCTTTCCACCACTGTGGCCTCCTTGGGCTTGTAGGACTCTCTTCCAGAGAACCAAGCAGAAGGTAATTCAGCTTCAGTAAGCTCTTGGTTGCTTTGCCCCAGCTTTACAGACAGGACAGGGGAGCAGAGGGAGAGACAGCAGAGTTGTGACAACGTGGAATCTTTAATCCTCATCGAGGTTTATCATCATGGTGTTAGCAGAGTTGAACATGATGCACAGTTACACAGATACGTTCCACAGACTGCCACATGCTGCAGATGGTTTTTTAACCTAGAGCCTGACATCGTAGTTCAAACTAATCTCCTCAAATCAGTGCTCACAGGAGAACTCAAAAGCTCCTGGCCCTGTATTGATTTCACAATATCAAACTGTTTCTAGAAACAGCTACCAAAATATTTGTGCGCTATTATCTTTAAAAAGGTTACCAAAAGGGATGAGTTCGGAAAATAAGCACTTCAGAAATCTCCATAGGTAAACACTGCAAACAAAATGCCACCACATCCAGGATGCAAACATCTGAGGAACTCCCTCTCACTTTCTTTCCAAAGTTACACACTTTCTTTACAAACTGACTGTCTCTTCATTTTTAATAAAAAAGTCTTCTTACATTTGGAAGAAAGAGGAGTAGTTAAAAATGTATCTACTGCTACTGCATGCGCTTACAACGCATTATGTGACAGCTTATTTTAGAATGGTGACGCTTTAAACACAGAGATCTAATTATCACTGGGAATAGCTCTATGGAGACAAAAAGTTAGATAAACATGGTGTGGGCGGTTTTGTCCTGCCACAGAAAAAGAGGATGCACTAGATGGACATTTAAGCCCTGTACTCCCGTAGTATTCAGTTCCCACAGGGAGTGTAGCGCTCCTGAAATATTTCTGGGCTGATTCACTCTGAAATCTGGTGGCATTCACAGAAAGGTGGCAAGAATGGTCAAGGGCACATATCATTCAAGAGAGGTGGAGAAGTTATTTGTATTAACAAGGCTGTGCTGTACTGTATAATACTGCATATATAAGAATATTAAAATACTGACCAGACCGGAGAAGTTAAATTAGGCACTTTTGGTTTTTACCCATTTACTCTCACCTTTCAGTGACCGCATCACTCGAGCTCTTTCCTAATGTTGATTAGGAGGAAAACATACAACAATGTGATCATTTGTTTTCTGCCTTAGCAAGTTT